AAATGAAAGAAATAAAACGACGAATGATAAACTAGAGCTTTCCTTGGCATATTTATGCCAAACTACTATCACTTTGTAGCATCACCACTCGAAGCGGTGGGGAAAAAAACAAATGTGAAGTCAGGTAAGGTCAAATTCTTCTTATTTTCATTATATCCTACATTTTACTGACAATAAAGTTTTTGTGATAATGATTCCTAATAATGTAGCTACTATTTAGGGCTGAGTATGATCCTTAATTGGTTTTCGATTCAAATCGTCAGAATCGGGTAGGGTGGTACCTGTTAAACCAAGCAGTGACGAGTTCAAACTATTCATTTCACGTTAGGTAATTCATATTTAAGCTTGTACAACACTGTATTTCGAAATAAACTATTGTTTACACAGATAAGCAATTCGGATAAATCGTACGGGGATTAAAATAGATACTATTTGCTTTCATTGTTGTTTTTTTTTTTGCTTCGGGGGTATCTTTATCCGGTGGTGATGCTACACAGTGACTATACTCGATTAAAAATTGTTTTTAACATGAAACAAGATTTTTTAACGAAATATAGTTATATACAATCGATAAATCTGCACATCTAAAAATATTGGAAAGAAACATTATACCATTTTTGTACTGATAGTGATAGTCTCAAAAAAATCTATACATTGATGCAAAAGCTAATAACTTATTGAACAATGAGTACATGAGTGGGTTGAAGTAGGAACAGGATCCAAAGTACGGCTTCAATTTAACCATATTGTATGCCTGTGTAAAGATTAATTGAATTTATGATGCTGAAAAACATCTGCTAATGTCGTCCCCTGTGCAAATTAAATAAGCACATTTAGAATAATTAGTGATTGATAACAATTAAGTAAATATAATTTATTTCCATCTGTTTTCTCATATTTATATTATTTGACATAGATCGTATTTGCACAAGGTAATGTAAACATGTTAATGATAGTTACAGTTAGTAAAAACGGCAATAAACGTTAATAATACTACAATGTAAATCAATTATTTCAGTTGTAATTGATGTTTTGTCATGGGACAACTACATGTATGCCAGGTTATGAAATACTTATCTGATACCAGGCTATCAAAATTATACTTCGGATGACGATACAATGTCAGCAGCAAATGAACAGGTGTAATAATAAACAAGAACTAAATTTAGCCATTGCGCTATAACGTAGTTTTGAAAAAGCATGATGAAACTGGATTTTAACATACAAATCACAAAATAGGCATCGATGAAAAGTTAAACGATGTTTACAACAAGAGAATGGATACGCATGATTAACAACCACTGATGTTAGTAAGAAGGAAATAAACGGACACTAGCTAATACTTTGGTGAGGACTTCTAATAATGTAAGAGAGTTAAATTAACTAAATGTACCTACTACTTTGATAATTACTCCTGATACACATAAGAGAAGTTAAACTGACACTATCTAGTGTTATGACGATGAATTCTGATACATGTAGGAACAAGCTAGTACTTTGATGATGACATCTGACACATGTAAGAGAGCTAAACTGACACTATCTAGTGTTATGACGATGCATTTTGATACATGTAAGAGAGTTAAACTGACACTATCTAGTTTTATGACGATGAATTCTGATACATGTAAGAGAAGTTAAGCTGGAACAAGATAGTACTTTGATGATGACTTCTGATACATGTAAGAGAGTTAAACTGACACTAGCTAGTACTTTGATGATGACTTCTGATACATGTAAGAGAGTGAAACTGACACTAGCTAGTACTTTAATGATGACCTCTGACACATGTAAGAGAAGTTCAACTAACACTAGCTAGTACTTTGATGATGACTTCTGATACATGTAAGAGAAGTTAAACTGACACTAGCTAGTACTTTAATGATGACCTCTGACACATGTAAGAGAAGTTCAACTAACACTAGCTAGTACTTTGATGATGACTTCTGATACATGTAAGAGAAGTTAAACTGACACTAGCTTGTATAATGATGATTACTTCTGAGATATAGAGAAGTTAAACCAACACTAACTATGGTACTTTTATGATGACTTCTGATAAATGCAAGAGAAGTTAAACTTACGCGAGTTAGTACTTTTATGAAGAATAGCATTTTTTTAAATCTCGAGTATTTTTAGCTCAAACATCTGCTGCGAGTTTTGACGTTGAGTGACAATAAGATATTTGGGATAAATATAAATCTATTGTAATGCATTTATGATGACGTCAATAAAATTAGTAAAGTAATATCAAATACCGAGAAAATCCATTGTAAATCACATTGTATGAGCAAATCAAATAACTGCGTACTTTACTTTTAATCACAGCTTCATCGTTATTCATATAATGAAAATGAATGAGACAAAAATGATTATGTAATGCAATATTTTAAACCTTATCTGCCCAAAATAAACATCTATTCCAAATAGTTCTGTCGATATGAGTGCGATTACAATACAAAACGACACGAGGATTGATAGGACATTTCAGAACCACTTAACCTTTGCGCATATTTATAGATTCCCTTTTATGATACATATCCCAAATTAGATTACTTGATTACACATGACCACAACATTTCTCTTTAAACAAATATATATACATATATGAACGGCCATCGTAGTGAATAGGAATGTAAGCCGTCGACATTTGAGATCTGGACACACTAAGGCAGATCTCAATCGACTGACTTTATATTACCATCATTGACCACACTACTGTTTGGTCAAGGGAGGAGGGAATCATTCGGGAAAGATTTTGGATAAGAAAATTAACCACGTTGGCACCAAACGGGATCAATGAAATAGTGAAGTTCATATCGAGCAGAAGATGAATGTGCTAGTTTTATTTTGGATGCATACATTCGAGGCCTCTATTACTTATGCTTTACGTGAACTGTGAGATTTTAGAATTAAACAAGCGTGGTTCGGTTAAAATGTTTTATTACGTTCAATCTTTTTTTAAAGGAAAGTTTCGTTGTTGATTATCTTTGTATGTAAGTAAGTTTTTGGGAGAAGTAGGGATTTGTTGTATTGTCCAGTGTATTTGTTTATGCCTGTTGTCATTTGCTGTATAGGAATAACAAGGTTTATACAGAGTAGCCATTTGGCTGCATCCAATAATATACTGTAATTTTCCATGTTACTTATATCTCGTAGGGGCATAACGTTGGTAAATTAATCAACCCGCAATGATTTTTAAATTCGTTCGCGATATTGCTGATGTCAAAATTGGACACTTCATCAATTTTCGACGAGGAATGTAGGCGTGAGAGTGCTTACAGAGTTGATATGCCATATTATTTAAATTTCCAAGGGCATAACCCCCTGAAATAATCGACCGTTCCTCATATTAGAATTCATCCGATATATTTATAATTGCTATGACAACTATTTCTGGTAAATTCCTAAAAAAAATCCTAAGCGCGGTCTTTTTAAATATTTTCAGAGTGTCAGTATCTTATCATAACATGCATATAATGCGTAATCTGTCTTTTTGTGTCGTTGAGTTGCTGTCTCATTTACTTATATCCCGCATCGCCTTTCATCTAATCTAAGTCCTTAAACAAACAGTTGTTTTGCTCTGCTTCACTGGTTTTCTTTTTCCTTAACGAATTGGGTACCATCTTAATTATGAATGCGTATCCACACCTGCTATTACTAGAGCCAAACGTAAATACTGTTGTTATGCAATACTCTAACATTCTAAACACCAAGTATAACTTATTCTATGAACTGTTCACAACAACAATTACTGTACAATTAATGTTCTTTCTTGGAGTTATAATTTACTAAATAATTGTCTGGCATTACCATTTTACGATCTTGTCATTGGATAAAGACACCGACATACAGAAGTCTGTTGATAAATTATGAAAATTTCATTGTAATGAAACTAATTGGTTCCAATACCCTCAGTCAAATAATACTTTAAATCGGTTTAGCGATAGCTTGTTTGTCCTTTTTGGTCATATAGCTCTTCGCTTGTTGCGGTCCTTATACACCCTTGGCTTTGCGAGTTCCTGATAAAGGTAAATCAAGAAAGGCGCTTCGGATGCAAGCAATTTATAGCGTGCTATTTTTTTTAAAGTACACTTTATGAAAATTCCTAAAAAAAGATAAAAGTTAAACAAAACAAGCACAATTCCAAAACTTAACAAAACACACCAAAAACAAACAAATGGACAAACTTTCAGGAATAAAAATGGCGTATACAAAATTAACTATTCGTAGTAACCAATAGATACATATGTAATCAAAACACATTATTACATCAATATTAAAAAGAATTTACTACTTACGTTTATTAACGATTAAGACAAGGAAGCAAAGACAAACATTTTAGTTCAATTTGTTTAGTTATATACACAGTTTCTTTTATTTGCTATTCTATTCACCAAAAAAAGCAAATAAAAGCTATCGAGGAAGAATTAAACATTCTACAATCACATAGGAGTTAACTTACTTCCCCATACAAAATAAAACAGCAACTCTCATGTTTCAGTTTCCTTTCCTTGTGACCTTTATGTTTCATTTGATACTGATCAAGAAATTCCCCCTTTTGTGATAAAGCAAGTGATTTTATAATTAGAAAATAGAACTATGAGCTATTACTGAAAACCGATACCCATGTTAAATTGTTTTGTTATAAATTAGGGCATTAGTTTTCTCAATTGAATTATTTCATATTTTTATGTCGGGGCCTTTCATCATTTGTTTATAGCTGACTATACGGTTTTTCTCATTGTTGAAGGCCGTATGGTTGCCTACAATTGCTTACATCCACTTCATGTTTCTCTTTGGCAATCATACCACTTTTCCTTATTTTTTTATATTTTATTATTCTGTAAACAGGAAGACGTTGAAATGCAATTGATATGAAAATGATCACACGGTAAACCATGTTCCAATGAAGCCTGATAGCAAATTTCAGGAAGCTCTCATTTGTAGTTTCCTGTAAGAATAAATTGTCCATACCTCTTTTAATAAAAAATATATCATTAAGACTTCTTCATACAGATGTATACATTCATCACTTTGTTTTATTCAATGCCTACTTAGTGAAATACATTTAGTTGGAATTGAACATTCCGCGTCAAGGAAGGGGGTTATTAGCTCTTTGAAATCGGGGGTTGCCTTGTCGTTATAGATGAATTCCGTGCGGCTGTAAGTACAACGAAATCGACGGTGACAGATCTTTTAGACGGGACAGCTTCACGTTTCCTTCTCAAACCATCTTTCAAGTAGACGTTGACGGCTTTGATAGACTGTACTGCTTCACGTTTCTTTCTCAAACCATCTTCTAAATCGACGTCGACGGATTTAACAGACGACACGACCTCACGTTTTCTTCTTAAACCATTGTCTAAACCCAGGGGAACACAGTTAACAGCATGAATAACATCTAAAATAAAATGCTATTGCATGATTATAAATGATTAATTTACCACAAATAAACTTACAAATGCAATGCATGAATATGTAGTACTTCTGTAATACATAAACTATAGTTTGCAGACTCACATTTGTATTTTATTCTTTACAAAACAATGTTAACCTTATTAAGACTTTATCATATCGCCATCTTAAATGTCATTAATTTTCAAAGTAAATTACAATAACGGTAAAAATATTATGTATCCAAATGCATGCAGAATTAGAGAATAATGGATTTTCGAAACCAGTTGAGATATCATTATAAAAGTGTGTACACATTGTAAATAGATATAAGAAGATGTGGTATGAGTGCCAATGAGATCCAAGCACATTAGTAGCATGGAAAACAAAGCAAAACACTGAAAATACGTATATTGTTCATCTGGACCCATTTTTTTAGTCACGATCGCAAAATTTGTTTACATCCACTTCATTTGAACTTTGGTGGATAGTTGTCTCATTGGTAATCATACCACATCTCCTTATTTTTTATATTAACAGATTTTTAAGTTGTGCCCTACAATTACTATTCTTAGACCGGCAATCGTATCGTGGTTGTGAAATATTAATAAAAAAGAAAAACCTTTGTTTAATTATTTTTTATTTAGTTTCCTTTATTATTTCATATCTTTTTTTTAACATTGGGAACGGGGGAGGGGATTAACGAGCTGGGCAATTTCCTTATTCTGCACATTTGATATAATCTGTAATCAATAGTATTAAAACTCCTCCCTTGCTCTTAATATACACGTTTCGAAATGTTCATTATATATTTTACTTTAAATTCATTGACATTTTAATGTTTTATTATTTGATCAGTGAACACAACTATACAAAAAATAATAATAGAATCCTGGTCATCGTAGAAAAAAAAAATAAAAAAAAAAATATATACTTACAAAATATCATTGCACAAAAACAAAGAAGTGATCTGGAATTCATTGTTAACTAAAAATGTAATCCAAAACAAAGTGTTAAATTAGCCTCAATTCACCGTCTGTCTTGGTCAAGTCAATACATGTATATGTATATATAAGTGTCCTATCAAATCGTTACGTAGGTAAACATTATGATTAATTACAAACATTCTGGTAACCTACCGTACTTGAAAATACTATTAAATTTTAATATTATGATTTATTGCTTGATATGGTTACTGTTGACAAACAAATTTCTTAGTTTTCTATGTTGCGTTTTGTGTACTGTTGTTTGTCTGTTGGTCTTTCTTGTTTAGCCATCCTGGATGTTGTCTCTCTTTTACTAACATCCTAGTAACTTGATTGGTGCAGCTCAAAGAAATTCAAAATGATCTAAAATTGTAGGACATATAATTGCAAAAATTTCGGAAATGCCGTTTTATAAAAGCTTAAGGGAGCAACAATTTAACTTCAAGGGGGGTTATGTTATTTTGTCTGAGTAAGAAATATTTATTTTTAGTTTTTCGTCGCTATCAATCAAATTATTTTTTTTAAATGTAACACTTGTCTATAAGGTATGGGGGAAATCTGGATTTAGAATATCTTTTTTTGTCATCTGCTTGACGACAATATTTTTTTTCTTCAAATTGGGATCAGAATATTCATTTTAGGAAAAAACCATAATCCCCCCCTTGAAGTTACATTTTCGTTTCCTAAATATGTTGTATCACAAATGTTAGCTAAATGTTCAATATGAAAATGATGAACTAGAAAGATGGGTAATCCCTCATTTATTTGGTACATTTTCTAAAGACTTTCAACTAATTGATTCTATAATTTAAACAGGTTTTATTTTATTTTACTTAATCTCAATTGTTAATCCAAGTTTCTGATATAATAACATGCAATGCGAACCAGCTGAGAAACATATCTTGGTGGAGAGCTCAGCGAGATAAAGTCCCGTTTGAAAAACGGACTTCAGATTTCATAGGTAATAGGATGTAATTTAGATATGTCACCTGCCGTTAGCAGGAAATAATGAGACATATTAAACGTGCTTGGTCGTGTAACAGGTCATCGACAAAGCGTCGTGCAGAAAACTATTCTGTGTAATGGGAACACATAAAAGGTTAGTATGTTACATGTAATGATATTTTTGGTACAATATGTTGAAAAAATCATAATGGAAACCATTGAAAAGTATAGTCCTAGTGTGTCACGATTGTACACGTGTACACAGTTATTGCTTTAAACAGCTTAAACCATTATGAACTATTCAACTTTTTGTCAAAAATATAAAACTAATAATACAAGTTTTCAGTCGGAACAATTACTTCCCTTTTTGGTTACTGTAACAGTTCGTTTTGTGTTTAAGCAATATAAGTCATCATCAATATTGGAAAAAGAACTAAACAATGTTTTCAATATATAACATTTATACGAGTGGAAAAACATACTAAATAAATTATATTCTAAAATATCAGCTGAAATTCAAATATGAGGGTTTTATCTAGAGATAATCGAATAGCATACAAAGAAGAAATGATTGATAGCTAATTTAGAACAATAGCAGTTAATATCCGTTGCATATATATTTCTTATTTTATCACTGAAAAGTGTTACCTTCATCATGTTTAGATATCTGTATATGTATATTTTCCATAAACACGACTTGCTAATAAAATAGTTTTTTGATTAAAAGAAGACATCATACAAACAGACGCATCAAAACAACTCAGAACATCACGATCAAGGAAAGGAAAATTAACAATGAAAGAAGAAAAGTCGTCCCGTTTGTTATAAATGATATCACGACTCCTTTCAGAAATTATAATATCGAGATTAAAAAAAGAAACAGCGATCCCTTTCAACGTTAAATCTAGTATCAAAATCTTCCATGGATCAACGTTATTTTCATATTTGGAACCAACTTAATAATTGAGCGACCATAAAGCGTTTGACTGTAGGCACTGTTTAAAAAAAATTAGAAAATGATGTTTCATAGGGTTGTTCAGAAATTTCGCCATTTTGAATATTATTAGTTGAAACATTAATTGGCTTTAATCATGTCTTTACATGTCCAATAATTATATTTGTCATATTTTATTGCTAAAAATAGAATTGTAACAACCACAAGAGGTCTAGTTAGTAGTTATTTGCAGATGTTTCCTCTTACATTTGTTACTTTACCATTTCTTTTTGTCTAGTAATGGATATCAATGGTATTAAGTGTCATTTAATAAAATAAAAATAATCCCTTCTTTATTTTGTCTGAATATATTTTGAATGGAGCATGTCAAACACTTGAACAACTTGCAGATTAGCAGCACCATAAGCAATTAAGTTTTAATCATATTTTTCCTGACAAATATTGTCTTTTAACTTCCGAAAGCATTCTCCTCAACAAAATATTCACTGATAAAAACACTTCCAATTGATAGACTGATTAATATCAAGTGACAAATATTACATGCATGGTCAGTTCGATAACATGATGTTGACAAAGGCATTTATCCTGCTTTGTACTAGCCAGCCTGAACTTTGTGACTCTCATTTCTGTTTAACATTTTATTCAATCTTGTTTGATTCTTTTTATTAGAACTTATTAGATTTATTGACATTCTTTAAAAAATATCAGCAATTTCACTAGTCTATTATATTTTTTTTGTTTTTAGCCCCAAATGTTTCAACGTATTTATACATCCACGGCTTTCAAATGCATTTCAGGTTTGACTGTTCCTGATGAAAGTAGATCCTGCAAAGTGCTTCGGCGCACGAAATTGTTAAGTGTTATTTTCATTTACACAGTATATCTTCTGCATATAGAATAAACATTTGAGTTTGTGTATAAGTATATAATATCTACCTAATTCTGATCTTTTAGCAATGATAATTGCATATTTTGTACATCAAGGGTAATCTTGGACTTTATCAAAAGTTGATGTCTATAACATTTTCAAATCTGCTTTTAAGTTATTCTGTTCTGTACAGAGCAGTAAGAAAATTGCAGACGGACTAATATATATAAGATTTGCACAACGGTTCTAATATAAGATGGTAATATACGAAGATGATGTTATAAAATCGTGTTGACAAATATTTCGGCTTAACAAATAGCCTTCGTCAGTGTCAATAGTTTTAACAATACTGATTGTATGTGTAAAATAGCTCAGTAATACAGGTAAGTTTTGGTCTATTGATTTAATCCAAAATCTTGAACATCATAATGTAAAACAAAACTCTATACTCAAATATACGTGACTGTGTATATTTACATCCCAAAATGATTGAAAAATAAAACTGCTAGTATTTCTTATTGGTGCCGTTTGGATGATGTACATTTAGTTCCTTTATCCAAAAGCTTTCCCGAACCTGTCGCTGGGCATCACTCCAGTGAATGTTTTGCTCAATCACTAGGATTTTCATGCGGTTAAACTCATCAAGTTTGTGACCCAATTGTCTGAAATGCTGAGAAACTGGGAGAAGTGGCTTCTTAGAGATATCACTCATATGGCCATTGAGGCGTTTGTGGAAAGGCTGCTTTGACTCACCAACATATTGGAGGCCACAATCCGAACATTCTAGAATGTAAATAACATTCATACTTTTGCAGGTAACATTGCAAAATATCCTATAGTTATTTTCGGTTGCCTTACTGTGAAAAGTTGATGAGTGATGCATCTGTAGGCAGCATTTGCAGCGTTTTTCATCACACGAACGACATTCTCCAGAAGTACTTCTATTATCAGACACTTTAGCCCGCACCAGCAGGTTCCGCAGACTATTGGGTTGCCTAAAAGCTATCATGGGAGGTTCGGGAAAAATCTTAGATAGTTTGGAATTCTTTTCAACTGTTTTCCAATCCTCACGAATGACACCGAAGCTGCTTTGAGAGATGGGTGGTAAGTAAGAACACATGGAGTCCTCTTATTTTTCTTTTTATCTTTGTATTCTAACAGTTTACTCCTTGGAATAGTTTCCGCTTTCTGAAAACTTTTCTTGGATAGTTCTGTGTTTGTAGCCCTTCTCTTAAAGCGGGTTTCGAGTTGACTTAGTCGTTTTTATTTGTTTCTGTGTTGGAACAAATTCGCTTGACTCTGAGTACCTGACTGTACGGGATGCTCTTAGTACAATGAGCAGGATGGCAACTTTTAGTGGACAGATATTGGTGAGTGTCAGTAGGCTTAGAATATAGATCTGTTGGTATGATGCTATCTGTGAGCGAGCTGGAAGTATCGAGGAAGGTCATTTTGGATTTAGATTTCTCATGAGTAAATTTGATACTTGGATGTATGTTGTTTGCATGAGTGATGAATGTATCTAAATCCTCGTCACTTTTATTCCATTTCATATCCATATCATCTATAAATCTACACCAGGAAAGCGGTTTTTCGATGGAAGATTCAAGGAGCTGTTTTTCTAATTTGCCAATAAATATGTTGGCATATGATGGAGCCATTTTGGTGCCCATAGCAGTTCCATTAACTTGCAGATAATGATCGCCATCAAAGGTGAAGTTGTTGTTCTTTAGTACCAGCGTGAGCATTTTGACCAGGCATTCAGTAGATGGATATTTTAATGGTCCGGAATTCCAAACTTCTTTACATGCATCAATGCCATCTGCATGTGGAATATTCGTGTAGAGGGATGTGACGTCCATAGAGACAAGTGTCGTGTCGGAGGGAAGTGGATTTAAGGCCTGCATTTTTTTAAGATAATCGGTTGTGTCTTTGATGTGAGAAGGTAAGTCTTCAACATGTTGACGAAGATTAAAGTCAACGAATTCCGAGATGTTTTTCGTCGGGTGACCGTTCGCTGAAACAATAGGTCTTCCTGGGTTATTGGCCTTATGAATTTTAGGTAAAAGATAAAATCTGCCCGGTTTTGGATTTTCTGGTTTCAAATACTCATGAGTTTTTTCATCGATGAAACCATCGTCGTGCATTTCTACCAAACTATCAGTTATTTCTCTGCTAAAAGATGTTGTGGGACCAGACACTAGTTTTCGGTAGAACCTTGCATCGCCATGTTGTCGTTCAGCCTCTTGAATATAGGCAGATGTATCCATGACAACCACTGCCTTGCCTTTATCTGCAGGTTTATTGACTATAT